GGTAGTCACCTTTCTCCTTGCCGTTTCTAGCCATTTGGTAGCACTCATTTCCTTAATTTGAGGATGGCTAGTTTTTATTTATCAATCCTCCCTCTTATATGACTAGGAAAGAGGCAAAAATTGTTTACTGCAGTTTATAAAATTCCTACTAGCCTTTTGAAGATACTAATAGCTTTTAGTACTAGTATGGGATCTGGCAGTCATACCATTTGTGCAGATGCCAGAACTGCAGGCCTTATATCCCCAGGAGGGAGCCTGTCTGTGCAGCTGAGGGATCTGGAGATGGAGTTTTCCACCAGAATCTTAGTTTTCTTGTATATGTTATAAAACTGCTCATTGGCAAGGGCTTCAGACATTGAAAATGGAGAAAAAATGGAATCTCCAGAAGAATGCATTAGATCCCCTAATATGTGGAAGGTAAATGTCTACTGCCATTTTGCCAAATCCTAAATCACCCTGGAGCAGCTTACTGTCCTGCACAGCATTATTGCCTGAGCCTGCATTGGGCCTAGCTGATAGGGATAGCCTTCTCATTTAATTTGTGTCTTTGTTTAAGTGTTTGTTGGTGCAAACAAATTTCTTTTCATCTTTAAAAAAATATGTAGGGCTGGGCATGGTGGTTCACACCTATAATCCCAGCACTTTGGGAAACCAAGGCAGGAGGATTGCTTGAGTCCGGGAGTTCAAGACCAGCCTGGGCAACATAGTGAGACTCCTGTCTCTAAAAGTTTTTTTAAAAATTTAATTAGCAAGGCATGGTTGGCACATGCCTGTAGTCTCAGCTACTTGAGAGGCTGGGGTGGAAGGATTGTTGAGCCTGGGAGGTTGAGAGCCATGATTGTGCCATTGCATTCCAGCCTATGTGAAAGAGTAAGACCCCATCTCAAAAAAAAAAAAAAAAAAAGCACTAGGTTAATGCCAGTCACTTAGGACTTGAGGGCACCTTAGGCCTTTTTCTGATCATTTGACAGGTCCACCCATGTTAAGTCATATTTGAGTAATTCCCATCTTGAAATACATTGCTTTCCAGTGAGTGAATTAAAGTAGGGAATAAAGTGGGTGAGTTGAACAAACAATTTCAGGAAATCACCGTTTAAGTGGGACAAAAGAACAAGTAGAAATACGCTAAAATGGTTTTCTTTAGGTGGAAGGCCTATGAGTAAATTATTTGTTCATTATTTTGTGATTTCCATATCTGTATTTTCTTTTTCGTTTTTTTGTTTTTTTTGAGATAGGGTCTTGTTCTGTCACCTAGGCTGGAGTACAGTGGCATGATATCGGCTCCCTGCAACCTCTGCCTCCCGAGCTCAAGGGATTCTCCTGCCTCAGCCTCCCGAGTAGCTGAGATTACAGCCCCCACTACCACGCCTGGCTAATTTTTGTATTGTTAGTAGAGGGGGGTTTCAACCATGTTGTCTAGGCTGGTCTCAAACTCCTGACCTCAGGTGATCCACCCACCTTAGCCTCCCAGAGTGCTGGGATTACAGGTGTGAGCCACCATTCCCACCTGATTTCCATATTTTCTTTTTTGTTGTTATTTTTTGTTTTTTGAGACAGGGTCTCACTCTCTTGCCCAGGCTGGAGTGCAGTGGCACAATCTCAGCTCACTGCAACCTCTGCCTCTCCTGCCTCAGCCTCCTGAGTAGCTGGGATTACAGGGATGTGCCACCACTGCCAGATAATTTTTATATTTTTAGTAGAGATGGGGTTTCACCATGTTGGCCAGGCTGGTCTTGAACACCTGACCTCAAATGAACAGCTGGCCTCGGCCTCCCAAAGTGCTGAGATTACAATTGTGAGTCACTGCGCCTGCCTGATTTCCGTATTTTCTAAAATGAGCATATACTGCTTTTATAAAAGGGAAAAAGCTTTTTTAAAAAAAATTTTCTTTGAGACAGTCTTATTCTGTTGCCCAGGCTGAAGTGCAGTTGCCCAATCTTGGCTCACTGCAACCTCCACCTCCTGGATGCAAGCGATTCTCATGCCTCAGCCTGCCGAGTAACTGGAATTACAAATGTGTGCCGCCACACCCAGCTAATTTTTGTGTTTTTGGTAGGTACAGGGTTACACCATGTTGACCAGGCTGGTCTCGAACTCTTGACCTCAAGTGATCCACCACAGCCTCCCAAAGTGCTGGGAATACATGTGTGAGCCACTGCATCTAGCCAGAAAAAGGTTTTAAATTGCTGATAAATAGTAAAGTCCAAATAAAAAGTAGCCACAGTTTATAGTGTTATCAATGAACAAGGAGTAGATTCCAGTTAGGCCAATATTTTGAGAGTAAAGTGGGGACTGTGAAAGAGAGAATGTAGATGCTGGCTGAAATTCACTGTGTAGGAGTCAGCTACCCTTTTGAAATGTGACTGGTATAAAAACAAAAAATAAAGATTCACCTTCTGAGTATTAAGTAGATCAATCAAGTATATGGGTGCCTGGGATTTGACAAAAGAACCACTGCCCTATAGGGAGGTTAAACATCATCAAACTTGTGCTCTCTATGTGGTTCATACTTTTTGAATATTCACAGTTAGCATGTGGGGTTCATAGCCTGAGGAGTGTTACCAGTAGGCACCCCTTGAGTCCCTTGAATTAAATGATAAGAGGGCTTTTTTTATTAGTCTGTCCTAACATAGGCATAGTTGGGAGCAGGATTTATTTTAGTTTGTTGGGCAGTAACAGCTAAAAGGTAGCCTGAGACACATAACCTCTCTGTAGGTAATTAAATAAAAATCTTGTCATTCTATCTCTAGAAGGTAAATAGAAAAGTGTATTAATATAGTATACTAGGTCAGGCACAGTGGCTCACACCTATAATCCCAGCACTTTGGGGGGCTGAGGCCGGTGGATCACTTGAGGGCAGGAGTTCAAGACCAGCCTAGCTAACATGGTGAAACCCTGTCTCTACTAAAAATACAAAAATTAGCTGGGCATGGTAGTGGGTGCCCCTAGGCCCAGCTACTTACAAGGCTGAGGGCTGAGAATCGCTTGAGCCCAGGAGGCAGAGGTTCCAGTGAGCCAAGATCCGACCACTACACTCCAGCCTGGGTGACAGAGCAAGACTAGGTCTCAGGAAAAAAAATACACACACACACACACACACACACACACACAGGACTAATATCTTTTGAAGGCTTTCTTGATTTCCACCAATCAGATGTTACTGCTTCTCCTTTGAACTCCTATGGCCCTTCTTTTTATTTATCAATTTATAGATCTATGTCCTCTCTACTCTTTAGAGGCAGGGACCTTTTTTGTATCTTCCATAGTAAAATGGGTATTCAGTAAATGGTTGTTAAATGGAAATCCCCAACTCTGAATTAACATTTTTCCTGACTTGATAGGTTTAGGGCCAGGCAAAAAGGATGATACCTGAAACTTTGAAGTCTAGGTGGGAATCACTTTCCTGAAATATTGAATATTTGCAGCCTATCCGCCTGACTTCTGTATGGTGGGATGGAAGAAGAATTTGTAGTTCATTATCCTGCCTACCTCTCTCCAACTTGCCGCTTCTCTCTGAACTCCCCATTCTACTTTCCCTCTGTATTAGTTATCGATTGCCATAGATCACTCTAAAACAAAATTATTATCTCTCATGGTTTCTGTGGGTCAGGAACTTGGGAGCAGGCTTGGTAGGGTAGTTCTGGCCTAGGGTCTCCCATGTGGTTGCAGCCAGATGTCCCTGGGGCTTTAGTCATCCAAACTCTTGACTGGTACTAGAGGATTCGTTTGCAAAGTAGCTCACACACATGGCTAGCAGGTTGATACTGCCAAGTTAGTTCCTCTCCACGTGGGCCCCTCCAAAGATCTGTTTGAGTGTCTTGATGATATGGTGGCTAGCTTCCCCCAGAACTAGTAGTTTAAGACTGTAGTATCTTGAAGCAGACACTGTACTGTGTTTTATGATGTAGCTTCAGAAGTCACCTATTGTTGCTTCCTCCATATTCTATTAGTACACGAGCCATCCCTGATTTATTTGGGTGGGGGATTATACATATGTGTAAATGAAAATCAGGAGTCAAGGATCACTGGGCTCATTGAAGGCCATCTTGGAGCTGACTACCATACCTTTCATCCACTGCTGTGATTCCCTAAATGAGAATTAGTAAGCTTAGCCTTGGTTCCCTCCTCCTTCATTCCCATTGCCATTCCTAGTTCAAGGCCTCATCCTGCAGTAATAACCTTCAATTTTTGTCCCTGCTTAATCCATCTTCCAGTCTGTTCCAAGCATAGCTCTGAGTATGTTGTTTCTTTATCCATCTTCAGTAACTGAAATGTGTGTTCCATGACGGCAAAGACTATTGTATTAATTGTATTAATCTGTTGTTAAATATTACCACATAATCTGCATAAAAATATTACCACAAATGTCGTGGCCTAAAACAACACACATTCATCCTCTCATAGTTTCTGTGGTTCAGGAGTCTAGTGTGGGTTGTGTAGATCCTCTACAACACACCGATCAAGGTGTCGGTCAGCTTCTCATCTGACACTCAGCTGGGGAAGGATCTGCTTCCATCCTGTTGGCAGCATTCAGTTCCTTGTAGATTGTTGAACTGAGGGTCTTAGTGTCTTGCTGTCTTTCCACTGGAGGCTGCTCTCGGTTCCTTGTTACATGGTCCTGTCACAGCACATCAGCTTGCCTCTTCAAACCTAGCAGGGGAGAGTGCCCCTCAGCAAGACAGATGTAAAAATACTATGTAATTCAATCATGTAAAGTCACTCATATACATTCCATCATTTTTGCCATATTCTGCTGGTTAAAAGTAAGCCACAGGTTCCACCCACATTCACTGGGGGGATTATGCAAGGATGTGAATACGAGGAGGCAAGAATCCTACAGACCACTTTAGTGTCTGTCTGTTGTAACTGTGTCTTTAGCACCCTGAGCAGGGCATGGCACAAATTAAGTCTCATATTTGAATGAAGGGGTGTACCGTGACTATTATGTTTCCAACTCCTCGCTTAAGCCTTTTTCTTCACTTCTTTCTTCTCTGTTTCAGAGTTACTGATTTATTCTTGAGACTCCTGTACTCTCATCTATCCTCATGGATGAACTTCAGGATGTTCAACTCACAGAGATCAAACCACTTCTAAATGATAAGGTAAAGATTTTTCTGTTTTCACTAAAATATGTACAAGCCTTTTCTTCTGATAGTACTTGATTTTCTATATCATCTAAATAGTAACTTAGAACATATTTAGCTTGACTTTCAATGAAGGGAATACTTTAAAAAATATATATATATATATTTTTTTTTCTTTTGAGACAGAGTCCCACTCTGTCACCAGGCTGGAGTGCGGTGGCGCAATCTTGACTCACTCCAACTTCTGACTCCCTGGTTCAAGTGGTTCTCCTGTCTCAGCCTCCTGAGTAGCTGGGATTACAGGCACGCACCACCACACCCAGCTAATTTTTGTATTTTTAGTAGAAACTGGATTTCATCATGTTGGCCAGGATGGTCTTGATCTCCTAACCTCATGATCCACCCTCTTCTGCTTCCCAAAATGCTGAGATTACAGGCGTAAGTCACTATGCCCTGCCAAAAATATCTCTTTCTGAAGCATCTTTTCAATGTTTCCCTCCCCCTTTTCTTTCTTCCTACTTTTGTTTCCCTGGGCAAATTCAATCAAGTTACCTTTGAGATTTTTGTATTTTACACATAGAGAGATTAAGAGGAAAAATAATGTGGCAAAGTTAAGCAGAAAGTTTGAGGGTGGGGCTGGGTGCAGTGGCTCACGCTTGTAATCCCAGCACTTTGAGAGGCACAGGTGGGTGGATCACTTGAGTTCAGGAGTTTGAAACCAGCCTCTACTATAAATAGAAAAATTAGCTAGGTGTGGTGGCATGTGCCTGTAATCCCAGCTCTTGGGAGGCTGAGGCAGGAAAATCGCTAGAACCCGGGAGGCGGAGGTTGCAGTAAGCCAAGATCACGCCACTGCACCCCAGTCTGAGTAACACAGTGAGACTCCTCAAAAAAAAAATGTATGCGAGTGGAGTTTGACTCAGAATCCAAATGTCCTTTCAGTTTCAATAAAGGAAATTTACCATCCATGACTGGTGATGTACATAGGCTATAATGCTCTCCCTAAAGTTTGCAAAGTCTGTGATGTGATCTTTCTGTCAATATCATAGTTTTCATCAGGGAGGACTGGATATCAGTAATATACCACATTTTTTATGTTATTGTTAGAGAACTACACAATGAGCAGGTGAGCATCACAGTTGACCACCATTAGACACCAGAACTGGTGTGATATGATTTACCAAAAGATTTTGGCTGGGACACAGTGGCTCACACCTGTAATCTTAACACTTTGGGAGGCCAAGGCCAGCAGATCACTTGAGGTCAGGAGTTTGAAACCAGCCTTGCCAACATGGTGAAATCCTATCTCTACTAAAAATACAAAAAGTAGCTGGGTGGCACAGGCCTGTAGTCCCAGCTACTCAGGAGGCTGAGGCAGGAATCACCTGAACCCAGAAGGCAGAGGTGGCAGTGAGCCGGGATCATGACACTGCACTACAGCCTGGGCGACAGAACAAGACTGTCTCAAAAGAAAAGAAAAGAAAGGTTTGTCTTCTCTCTTGTTCCTTGTGGTTCAGTAAATGTGCCTGAAATTCCTTCTTTTCTACTCTATTCTTTTGGTTTATTTTCATTGTCCCCTATTAAAATACTCTTATAGCTTGATGTGGGTGACCATGCCATCCTTTCCTGAGGTAGTGTTGACGGAATATAAGAAGAAAGATGGGTGGGGGAGGGATGGGGATGACACCAGGAGATTGATCTGTCTCTTGTTATCTTTATCCGCCCAAGGCAAGGCCCTTCACATGCAGCCTCTGGGGCTGCTGACTTATTATGTGTTTACTAATTTGCTTTTGAATCCTACCACCCCCACTTACAACCCTGTGACAGCTCTATTCCCACTCTTGCTCCTTCTTTTATCTTTCGCCAGACTTCTCCTTTGGCAAGTTGCAGGCTGTTTTTTTGTTTTTTGTTTTTTTTTTTTTTAAGAGATGGAGTCTTGCACTGTTGCCCAGGCAGGAGTGCAGTGGCACGATCTTGGCTCACTGCAAGTTCTGCCCCCCAGGTTCAAGCCATTCTCCTGCTTCAGTCTCCCAGCTGCATGCTTTTTTAAAACCTCCATTTGGTTTATCCTGCTGCTTCCCCTCATATTTTCAGAAAACTCTCTCCTTTAAGTTGTGTGTGTGTGTGTGTGTGTGTGTGTGAGAGAGAGAGAGAGAGAGAGAGAGAAGGGCTGTCCCAAAAATGTTGTGCCTAGGAAAGGAGGAAGGACATAAAATCTGAGCCAGGCATATGCCTATAACTGGACTCACACCTATAATTCCAGCACTTTGGGAGGCCGATGTAGGAGGATCACCTGAAGCTAGAAGTTCAAGACCAGCCTGGGTGACAAAGGGAGGCCCTGTCTACCAAAAATTTTAAAAAATTAGCCAGGTGTGGTAGCACACATCTATAGTCCCAGCTACATGGGAGGCTGTGCTGCAAGGATCACTTGAGCCCGGGTGGTTGAGGCTGCAGTGAGTTGTGATTGTGCTACTGTTGTCCAACCTGGGCAACAGAGTGAGACTCTGTCTAAAAAAATAAATAAATAGAGAAAGAGGCTTTTTTTTTCCTCACCTTCCCCATGCCGTATGGGACACAGCGAGAAGGCAGCTGTCTACAAACCAGGAAGAGATTGATCCTGAGAAACTTAACCTTTCCAGAACCTTGATCTTGACCTTTGCAGCCTCCAGAACTGTGAGAAAATAAATTTTTGTTGTGTTAAGCCATCAAATCTATTATTTTGTTATGACAGCCCAGTGTCTCACTTCCTAACATCTGTCAGCTCCTCTTTGATATGCCTGTGCTGTTCCTACCCACTTCCCATATTCCACTTTACTCCTCTCTCTCCCTGAGACATAAGTGCTCCTGTGCCATCACTATTCATGAGAAGTCTTTTGGCTCTCACTAAGCAGGTAGATAGGCAGGAGGCTCTCTTTAGATCATGGCACCTCCAAACAGAGAATTCTACCCCATTAGCCTCCCTGTCTCCCTCCCCAGCATGTGAATGCTTTTGTCTTTGCTCAGCAAGTGGAAACTTTTGTGTATGTAGTAAAAGGTGTAATGATAATAATGCCTCTCATCCATTACTTCATTTGAACCTCCCAACAGCTGGATGAGGAAGGGAGCACAGATAAATTTATTCCCACATTGCTAGTGAGGATGGCTAGGAAAGGTGAAGTAGCTTACTCCTATTGAGTATCAAAGAATGCATGTTGTATGGCAGGACTTCTCACTGTTGATGTTTTGGATTGGATAATTGTTTGTTGTAGAACACCGCTCTGTGCATTGTAGAATGTTTAGCAGCATCTTTGGCCTCTACCCACTAGATACCAATAGCACTCCCCAGTGGTGACAACCAAAAATGTCTCCAGACATTGCCAGATGTCCCTGGGAGGCAAAATTGCCTTGGTTAAGAAGAAACCACTGGTGTAGAGGGAAAGACTCCAGATTTGGATAGAAGTAGATGTGTTGAGGGTTTTGTTGTTGTTGTTGCCCATCCTGTTATTATTTATTTATTACCTTTTATGTGCCAAGTGCTTTACATACATTCTAATTCTCAGAATATTTCTTTGAGATAGGTGGTATTATTCCTCACTTCACAGATTAAAAATCCGAATGAAAGGCTGGTTTGCCCAGTAAAGAAGTGGCAAAACCAGATGGAAACCTGAGTCTTTCCTACTTGTAAAACCTGAGCCTGATGACCATGTGCAGTGGCTCACACCTGTAATCCCAGCACTTTGGGAGGCCAAGACTGGTGGATCACCTGAGGTCAGGAGTTCGAGACCAGCCTGAGGATAAACCCCGTCTCTACAAAAATTAGCCGTGCAAGGTGGTGCATGCCTGTAATCCCAGCTACTCAGTAGGCTTAGGCAAGAGAATCGCTTGAGCCTGGGAGGCGGAGGTTGCTGTGAGCTGAGATCACACCATTGCACTCCAGTCTGGGCAACAAGAGTGAAACTCCGTCTTAAAAAAAAAAAAAAAAAAACCTGCGCTTGTTCCACCGTGTTAATTCTATAGATGTTTTGGCATCACCTTTTTGGCTCGCCCTATCTCTTTAAGGAGAAGGCTAAAGATGTATAGTTCACCTTATCATTTTGTCCATTATTCTCATAAATACTTTTTGCTGAAGACATTGCTGCATCCTCCAGGCTTCAGGGAGCTAGAGGAAGACAAGAGCCAACCTCTTAGTGAGAAATTTATCCTGAGATGACTGTAAGGAGGCACTCTCAATATAGCTTTAAGCGAGGCTTATGTTAACTTGTCTCTTGTCATTTGTTGGTACTTTTCCCATTTTATTTTAGTATGCCTGTAATTTTGTCTACGGCTCAGAATTGTCAAGAAGTGGATAATTTTGCCATGCTTGTTTTGGCTCCAGTGATGGAAAGAAGCAACCACCAGTACTTTGTTTTGCGGGAGGCAGAAATTGCAAGGGCATATGAAATGATTTTTAAAATAGCACTTAACTATTTTCAGAGCACTTTCACAAATAATATCTTATTTTAATCTTCCAGTCTCTTGTAAAGTAAGTAGTTGAAGATGTTTTAACTGTGTTTTACAGATGATGCTGAGAGGTTACGTGACTTATTCAAAGCTAGTATCTGTTAAGTTAGTGAAGCCAGGCTAGAACCTACATCTTTGGACTTTGACCTGGACCTGGGGGTCTAGGGTTCTTCCTGCCATCTACTGCCTCTTATAGCTGGTTGTTCGAGACTCGTCACCCAAAAGACCTTGTAATAAACAGGAGAGGAGACTGTTTTGCTTCATTTTCCCTCCCTCCCTCTACCTACTATTGGTTTAGATACTATCGAACATGGTGAAAGCCAAAGACAGGCTTGAGAAAACAAGTAGAAGTCCACATTTGGCTTCTGAAGAATTGAGGAAATATCAGAAAGGGGAATAAATGTTTAGTAGAGAGAATAGAAATTAGTTATTTACTTTGTTTTGGTTGTTACAGTAGAAAGTGAGATAAATCTTTTTTTTTTGATACGGAGTCTCGCTCTGTTGTCCAGGCTGGAATGCATAATCTCAGCTCACTGCAA